TGTATGGCCTGCCTATATTGCGGCCCCTGGCAAAAGCCAGAGTAGGGCTTCAAATGACAAAAAATTTCGTCCTGAAAAGGACGAAACTGGATAACATATACCCCAACCAGGGTGTGGCTTCAAAATAACAAGAAGTTGCATCCAACGAGGGGACGACTATTGGGTACACAATAATTAGTAGTAGTAGTAGTAGTAGTAGTAGTAGTAGTAGTAGTAGTAGTAGTAGTAGTAGTAGTAGTAGTAGTAGTAGATTTTTACCCCACGATTTTATCACACGAGCGATAAACACCCGATAACACAAAGTGCCACCCTGTGGACTAGGATCACCTGTGGATAGAGGTCCCGGAAACCGCGTTCAGCCATTATACCATATTAATAGTCAGGCTATATTGCGGCCCCTGGCAAAAGATACAGTAGGGCTTCAATAAACGAAAAATTGCATCTCACAAGGGGATGACTGTATGGGATAGGTACACAATAATTATGTGTTCCGCATAATCAAGACCTTACACTTGGGCCGAAACGAGGACTTCTAACTGAATGAATGAAAATAAATAGTTAAAATGTGAACAACCATTCAGACTGAGGGACCAGGAAACTGCAGCTAGGTAAAGGGCGAGACTTGTCTACTAGAAGTGAACTAGATGATGCATGTTGTTGGAGTTTATTATACAGGGAAATAAAAACACATATTGGCATACCCATGACAATTACTTCCCTTGCACTCTAATCTCATCAATGAAAGATAGCGCATTAGTTACATTCTTCTAAAGTACACAGGCAGATTTTAATCTTGGAAGGAAGCATCTCATAAACGTTAGAAATAATTTTGCTGTTGTTGCCTCTCCTCTTCCTTATACAAATGCTACTACTGCTGCTGCTACTTCTACTGCAACCACTAATACTACCACCACCGTCATCACCACTGCTGCTGATGCTGCAACTTCTGCTGCTGTTACTCTACTACAAATTATATTACTGCTACTACTAGTGGTAGTATTGTTAGTATTCATACAACATCAGTTGTACGACTGCTAATATTGCTACTGCTGCTGCTGTCGTTTTCTCTTCTCATTTTATTATCTTCTTTCTTCAGCGTAATTATCCGCCTTTTCTTCTTCTCCTCCTCCTCCTATTCCTTTTGTCCTCCTCCTCCTTCTCTTCCTTCAACTTCTTCATTTGAATTCAGACTTCCAATTAATGACTCTAATAATACAGTAATTAGTTTAAAAATTAAAAATTTTTATGTAGTTTTATATATATATATATATATATATATATATATATATATATATATATATATATATATATATATATATATATATATATATATATATATATATATATAGAAGTTAGCTGATGCCATACAGTTTATGTACACTGCTGACAGCTGTGCAAAAATTTATGAAAGTTTTGTGTAGAAAATGGCCAGTTAACACACGTAATGTAGACAAAGATTATCTTCAGTGCGGCTAAATAAGGACCCAGCCTAGAAACACATCAACGCATTGAAATGCTATAGGAAACGGTGTAATAAACTTACCATCGAGTGACCTGTCGAATTTTCTCGTATTTGGGATTGGTCAGGAAATTGTTGACAGGGGCAAGCAATCGTACCAGATGTCTACGAAGACAATACTGAGACAGTATTAGGACACCCAGAAGCGTGCACACCAAAAGTCTGATAGAACCCTCATCTCCAAACCGATAGTACATGGCGTAAGCAAAGTAGGCGAAAAAAGCCAGTAGTGCGCCAATTCCAATGCTTGTCCATATCTGGGCCTGAAAAGAAACTATTGCAGATGTAAGTAAAGCAAAAAATATTCGAATCAATAAATGAGTCAAGAATTAACATCACTATTCTCGGGACATTTTCACACGTACTCAGTCCTTTTTTTTTTTTCAGTATCAAACGAAGAATCGGCATGCTTAACAGTATCATTTACAACCTGATTAGAAGTCCGCTTATATTTTCCCCTCACTTGTGAATATCATTACTAAAGATAGTTAGGGTTTAATGTTTTTAGTAATTGCAAGTTTTACTTTCGACAACAGTTGGCTGTTACATTTTCCTCCATATGTAGATTGGACGAATATTGTTTCTTTGCCTACCTACTTCGTTGTGCTTTTGCCAATAGTTGGCCGCTACATTTTCCTTCATATGTAGACTTACATTATATAGTTTCCTCTCCCAGCTGCTGAGCTAGGTGCATGGTGCGACACTGTGAGCTGCGGATTTCATTTGCACTGTTTTACGACTGTACCCAACATAGTTTGTGTTATAAACTATAGATTCAGAAAATGGCGAGTGGTCTGTTGCCACAGAACTGGTAATGCCTTATATGATTAATCGTGTTACAACTACCGATCTGTTGTAGCTGCTGTTTTCATCGATGATGAACTGCACTTCTAGAGTGGTTTTGGAAGGCACAGGAACTGAACATCTATGGTGTCACCCGTTTGCTATGAAGTTGGAACTGCAATTACCTGATTACAAAAGAAAGAAAGAAAGAAAGAAAGAAAGAAAGAAAGAAAGAAAGAAAGAAAGAAAGAAAGAAAGAAAGAAAGAAAGAAAGAAAGAAAGAAAGAAAGAAAGAAAGAAAGAAAGAAAGAAAGAAAGAAAGAAAGAAAGAAAGAAAGAAAGAAAGAAAGAAGGAAAGAAAAAGAAAGAAAGACAAGAAAGAAAGAAAGAAAGAAAGAAAGAAAGAAAGAAAGAAAGAAAGAAAGAAAGAAAGAAAGAAAGAAAGAAAGAAAGAAAGAAAGAAAGAAAGAAAGAAAGAAAGAAAGAAAGAAAGAAAGAAAGAAAAAGAAAACAAGAATAAGGGTCTTTGCCCAATGCTATATCTTTCATTGTTAACAATCTTTAGGTTATTAAACCCGGATCTATGTCTAGATATGTTACTGAACCCGGATCTATGTCTAGATATGTTACTGAACCCGGATCTATGTCTAGATATGTTACTGAACCCGGATCTATGTCTTGACATGAACCAGTCTTATATTTACAGAAGAGGTTTTTGTTTATATAAAACAAGAACAGAGACCTACCATGCGATCCTGGTAAAAGTCAAAAATTTCCCTCTGAACAAGCATAATTCCTCGAGCACAAAAATTGCAGTTGTCAGGGTCAAACTCCTTCTTTTCAAGAACCAAATCCCGATCAGTGTTTTGGTCAATGACATCACCGTTTGGAAAGTAGGAACGTTTGCCTTCTTTTTCACTCAGAACTGTTGTGTGTGGTGAGTTGTCTCCACCTGCCATAACGATGACTTTCCCATCTGACTGTAAGTCACCATCTTTCTGACCAACAGGATGCACAACCTATCGAAGAGAAAAAAAAAATGTAATGGTTATAGGAACCAAATTGTAGTCAGTTTACAAATACTACTGTTGTGGCACTGGCATCCGTTGTAGTCCAGGAGCTAGATAACGGCTTGTCAACTCGAAGGTCTTGGGATCAAATCCAGATTGAGGCTGATTTTTTTTTTTTTATTTATCCAGGCTCCCGGGTCGACCCAGTCTACAATGGGTACCAGAAAATGTATGGGAAGTGAACGCGGCCAGTGTAATGTCGACCACACCTCCATCCGTGTGCCAGTTGTTCTCTACAAAATATAGGTCTAGCGCCATACACCTGTGTCGGCGTCTGTGGCTGAGGCGTTGCGAACGCGCTTCGTAATGCCGAGGTACCAGGTTTTATACCAGCTGCGGGCGATTTGTCTTGCGCGGGTTTCGACAGTAGTACAGAGAGCTGACCGTTCAGAGGCAGTAGGAAACTACTGAAAGTAAATTTGCCTAGAAAAACCAAAACCGCTAAAAAATGCTGGGGTTGGTTCTGCAACATACTGTAAATGATACACAACTAACTTAACCATACACCCACATCATCTAAAGACGTGGAAAAGAGCCCTTTACCCAACTTTACGTTGATCCCAGCCTCACCCAGCCTACCAGGTAAAGTCAAGTCATGAGAAATATAGGAGGCTGACGTGATGATTGCCACATCACCCCTAGGGTGCCGATTGTGGAAAAAGGTATATCTAACACCATATACCCGACGCTCCATGTGTGAGTTCCCTGGCCCCATTATATGGGGTGGGGGAGAGGTGGTGGAAGACTAGTCCACTGACTCTCTAACCAAAATGTCGTACATGACGACTAATTAGGGCTTCCTTGGAAGTCAGAGGGCATCTGCCTGAGAGGCGAGGAACCAACAGTCTGCATACAAATAAAATAGATCTGTAAAATGGATTTGAAGCACACGAAACTCAAGTTCCAGAGCAAAACTAAAATCCAGAAATGGACGAACAAACAGAACTTTCTGCGGGAGTTTGAATGTGAAGAAGTAAGAAAATACACCCGATGTGCCAAAGCGGTCAAAGATGTATATATTAATACACAGACTGACTGACAGAATGATAAACGCCTTCATCCACACCCAGCTCCCTATCTTCCCTGAGGTGACTGTAATATCTTGAGCTGAAAATTAGGCATCCTTATAATATTTTGGGCTGCAAACGGGACATCACAATCAAGTCTCTTTAACTCTATCTGCGTTGTTTCTAGTTCACCGGGGAGAAAGGGCTAATTATTCGCTTCTTTATAGTATTAAAAACCAAACCATTGTCGCCAAGAAATAAACAAAACTACGTGCTCTTTAACTGCACTGAAAGAAATGCAAAAAAGATAAATTCCCGTCAAAATATTTTGGTCACTAAAAGTATCTAAAACTCTAATAATCTTTAGAGATATAACTATACTTGTATGTTCTGTTTGCGAGCTTATGCCTAAGATTTCTTTGAATATATATTAGTTAGTTAGTTAGTTAGTTATTTAGTTAGTTAGTTAGTTAGTTAGTTAGTTAGTTAGTTAGTTAGTTAGTTAGTTAGTTAGTTAGTTAGTTAGTTAGTTAGTTAGTTAGTTAGTTAGTTAGTTAGTTAGTTAGTTAGTTAGTTAGTTAGTTAGTTAGTTAGTTGGGTTATCCTCATTGCACTCCGGACAAGTCCATAGGTGCTCAGATCCTCCCCTCAGTATGAACCCCAACGTCCGATGGCTAATAGTACCAGTTCTATGTTGATTAACAAGTCTTCTGGCGTAGCTGGTGTGCGTCTCGTTTTTTGCTGTGCCGATCTTAATTCCCAAGTCTGCCATTCTGGCGAGTGATGTGGATTCACTGCCACCAAAGTCCTATATCCTTCCCATTTCTCTGAGGGCATTGATAATATCAGCATGATCCATAGGCTGGCCGTCGGTAGTGATAGCGGATCCAGCCAACCTGTCAGCTCTTTCATTTCCATCGACGCCTGCGTGTCCCGGAACAAAAATAAAGGTGACTCCACGAACGGTGGACTTCTGTAATGATTCAAGCCATTGTCTTCGCACTGAACCTGCATAAATCCTCCGGATCATACTCATTGAATCACTGAGTATACACACGCGGGTGTATTTTTGTGTTTCAAGCCAGACAAGCGCTTGTGTCACTGCCATCACCTCCATCGTCATGCTGCTGAATATATATGTATATATGTATAACGAAACAATAGGTGGTTTTTGTACCGACCGGACACACATAAAAATCGAGACCGTCCCAATGAAAACTGAACGTATAGTCACCCCATAAATGTACCTTTTCTTCGATAAAACAAGAAAGAACACCTACTTCTTGACAGTGAAATTATTCAAAGGTACGTAGCACACAGTCAGTTCAGTGTCCAGAAATAACAAATGTAATGTTTAGAAAATACGAAGATACGGGCAGCTGCACACATTTATGGGATTAATGCAAGGAAGCACCGAGTATAGACTACAGTCTCCTTCAACAGTCGGAAACGCAGTTCTTTACTTAACAGTGTGCCGTCTTCGCAAACAAGGCCGTGTTTTGGTCTGCTGTATTTAGGAATATAAAAAATGAACTGTTCAAAAATCGAACCCTAATTAGTTAATTGCGCATCCTTTACAGGACGTCGCAGAAGCAACACCAGTATTTGTGGCTGTTGTAGTTTTCTAGGCAAATTTTACGTCCAGTAGTTTGCCATTGCTTACTAAAAAGTTAGTTCTCTGTACCAATGTCGAAACCAACGCAGGACACACCGTCTGCAGCTGGAATCGATCCCAGAACGCGGCATTATGAAGCACTTTCGCAACGACTGAGCAACAGAACCCTAGTACTCCATACATAAAGCCATGTTCACAAAATAGGCTAATTTCTCTCTCCAACCCCTCCCCCTTCCCCACCCCCTTTTTTTTCCCTCACACCGCTCTTCTTTTTTTTCCTCGATTATGTGCATGTGTGTGTTTGTGTACGGTAAGATAAGACCATAACATAAATGTCATCTTTGCCCGTTTATGGATAGTTTGAACGCGGTTTCTGGGACCTCTCCACGGTGATCCTCAACCACATGGTGGCACATAGTGTCATCGGGTGTTTATCGCTTGTGTGATGTCCTGGTAAGGTAGAAAGTCAGTCAGTCTGATAGTTTTGTTTTGAAAAACACATAAACAGAAGACTGACATGTTTGAAAATAACTGATTTGCATGTTTTCTGTAGAAATAACTTGGGATGACACATCGACTAAAGACTTTGCCATGAGTGTTTGTAAATGAATTCATGCATTGCTTTATTGAGTGTAAATGCTTGGTTCCACATCAGTTCATCCATGAAAATAAAGGCCTTATCGGTGGAAGGTCTTAAAAGTATATACAAAAGCCCTTTGTGCGTGATGTAAGCTAGCAGCCATGCGTGCCAGAAACACCATGTTTATTGAAGATAGCTTTTATTGAAGCTTCCCCTTCATGTAATTCGTTTCGTAATTATGGCCTTTTGTCTATTTAGATCTCAGATGTAGATGTACCCTAAGCAACACTGTCATTGCCACTGACAGAGGGAGTAAACATTGTGGTGGTTTTATTTTCTTGTCAAATAGAACCTTTTGGCGCATCGTGTATAGAATGCAAGATCTATATCGTTATTGACGGACCGGCACTCTGTTGGTAATGTCATCAAAATAACAACGTTTGCCTTTTCTTTCCACGACATCACAAAGTACCCATCGCAGGTTGGAGCGACACAGGAGGCAATGTCGAGGTCAAATTATATATATATATATATATATATATATATATATATATATATATATATATATATATATATATAGGTGCAGATTTGAACCCCAAACCTGTAAACCAACAGCAGCTATCTTGCCACTACACTACCACAGCTCAATTGTTAAAGTCAAGGGTAAAGTAAAATTGGACGGTAAAAAACTGCGTCTTTTGTACTTGACTTTGCTCTTTTCAAATTCTAGGAAGCATAATTGCAGAAGATGGTAGAAGAGTTGGAGTTTTTTTTTTTTTTTTTTTGTATTTAACATCGAAAAGTTCTTTATACTGTACCACATTAGCAAATATTTGTACTTTGTTCTGATATTGCCAAGACAAACGGTACGTACCTTTTGACCATCCCCTAGAATCTGTAAGGCAGTTTCATTGATTTCATATCCATGATTTTCTTGGCCAACTTCCTTTCTGCTATCCATGGTATGGTGCATTCGTCTATGTAGGCCAGCTGACTCTTCTGAGTTGTCAGAGGTGGCTAGGATGATGATATGTTCTTAATCTGTTCTTGATGGCAACCCTAAGGAGTAAATAATGTCAGTCGAACATTGGATTGTTTATTTTTCTCCAGGCCACGATGACGTTTAACATGGTCAAAATACTTCACTGGACCAAATAAAACTAATCATAAGTGAATACGTATAAAACGGCCTCTGTGGATTAGACGTTGCGAACGCGCTTTGTAATGCCGGGTTGCCGGGTTCGATCCCAGGTGCGGACGGTTTGTCTTGTTTTGGTTTCGACAGAGGCACCCAGAGCTGACCGTTTAGGCAAACCACTGAACGTAAAATTTGCCTAGAAAAACCACAACAGCCAAATAATGCTAGGGTTGGTTCTGCAACATCCTGTCAAAGATATGCAACTAACTAACATATAAATAACGAGAAGGCTAGCCCACAGGCAACAATGCCCTAAGAAAAAGACGACGATCGAAAGAAGTAAAATTTCAGCTTCGCCCTAAACAGACACTAGTGCGTTCTCGGACAAACGTAAAATAAGGCGAACATATTTAAAACAAAATCTGAGAAATTTAGAACGAATGATACAGACAGGGCTGTGATCAAGATATATGACACTCCAGTACAGTCATGTATGTACCGCCAATCTTCTCTCTGCTTAACTTCAGCGTAGCTTTTTGTTTGCAGACTATTAGCAATAGGTCGTGAAATGTTACTGCCCTCAAAATTGTGCCGTCCAGTGTAGCTGCAAATGTTGCATCATCATGTAGCAGGTCCTTTGCAGAACGTCGCTGTCCTCACTGTCTGCCTGAAATAAACACTGTCTCTCGTCAGCTCTCCCACATCATGTACTTTCATACTCAAGGAGTCACTTATATCCTGTGCCCATCTTCGTGTTGGTCGGTACCTGCCCCTCCTTCCTGGTACCATGCCTTTCTCTTTAATTTGCTCCAATCCATCGAGCCGCTTGATGTGACCAAAAAATATACAGGTATAGCAATTATACTGTTTAGTCTATCTTTGCGGATATTTAAAGTGATCTGGGATATCATTATTCTGTCTCAAGATACATTAACATTTCATGTGCGAATTCCTGTTATTGTGATGTACTCTCTTTAATCCGTGCCTGTAGTTCTCTAAAACTATCTACTTCCGGCACGCTTTCAATTAAAAACTGATATTGTCAAACATTGTGGTATTAGTCCTATGTCATTTTATTGTTCTGTTTCCCCATTTTGATAAGCTTTTTTAATTACAGCTCACTGGATTAATTACACGTTGAGCAGTGTCACGCCTTGTCATGTCATGTCACGCCATGTCATATCATGTAATATGAAATCATTTTCCTGCCTGTGGGTAAATTTTATGTCATGTCTTGTCAGGTTTCTATGGCTAAGTCGATGCGAACGCTTCGTAATGACGGGATGCCGGGTACGATCCCAGCTGCGAGCCATGCGCCTTGCGTTGGTTTCGACAATGGTATCAAAAAAGCCGCCCGTCCAGCAATGCAATGGCAAACTACTGGACGTAAATTTGTCTAGAAAAACTACACAACAGCCAGGGGCTGTTGGGGTTGGTTCTACAACGTCATGTAAAGGATACGCAACTAACCTAACCTTGTCAGGTTATTTGGTCTTAGGCTGTTGGGATGTTTACGAAAATGGCAATCATCCACACCGGACTTGCTAATGGATGGTAAATGTAATCTGTAGAACATAATGTCAACAATACCACCCATATGATCATTAATATAAATGAGATTAACTATCCTCGTATGTGGACTAAAATCCTGCAATATTAAAGCAATTTAGAAGTAAAGTTTGTAAATGGTCTCGGTAAATGTTATCCCTGAAGTTAACCATTTTAACATCCGTTGACGAAATTAAAGTAAGATCTCAAAACAATACAGTGTTTTGTAAAGTTATTCCGATAGCAGCAGAATTACTATAGCAGAAGTCCACGGTTGCAATGAAATAACTTCACTTAGAGTAAACAAACCTATCTGGTTCGAAGTCTCCATTCAGTTTACAAGAGTTGACAATACGAATACATATACACCCTTTGATCATACCTTAGCCATCAACAATATGAAGTATTATCTAGGAAGTCAACTGTAAACATTGGTAGCAGGGTCTCAAGATAATATATCGCTTATTTGTTCATTGAATGCCACACGTTAACATACAGAGGGGAAAACCATTCCACAGCCTACACAATAGCCAGATGCGCCACGAAAGACACTGATGTACGCTACAGCCATAGTAATGCTTCAGTAAACTCAAGAGAACATAAGCTTTTTTAAATACTCGTGCATCCAATCTCAGTGGTTCTCAATTTACGGTAATCATTGTCTCCTCTGAGTGTCGGGTTCTTTCAATTGACAATGTTGTAAGTAAACCTTGTGGTGGAAATATTACCAAACCAGGCCTAATTTATGTCGTTCGCTTATGCTGTGCTGAATGATAACCTAATTATATACACAAATGCCTCTTGGTAGACATGAAGTTCCAACACCGGCTGTGCACACTCAGCTAATTATGAGTTTTGAGAGGGGATGGAGAGTTCTGCAACTCAGTCCCCTTAAATAGGCAACTTAAGACAATAAAGACACCCACGAATTGAAAATGCATGCGGCAGAGGAACTGGCGAAGGATCGCAAATCTTTAATATGAGGTACATACAGGGTGAGCGACATGCTGAATTTGCTTGACACATTAGTGGTTTTGAAAAATTACTCATTTTTATTAGGCTGAAATGGTGTTTTACCATGAAGATCCTGGTGGCAGAGGCTTGTCAATCGTAGCTTAGCTTGAGGTTTAGACAAATGTTCTCATGACTCAGGAGTGACTGAACGGACACCAGATCTCTACAGCACACTATGCGTAGAGATCAATTAGCATTGAGACCCCTGCAAAGACCTTCAGCCTGTTCGATAAACTGTTTATTTATGGCGGATAATGTCTGCTTCCTGATAATTATGTTTTTTCCTTAATTTTTGGGAACTGAATGGGAAAGAAAGTCGACAAAGAAGGAAACTAGCCACACCGTCTCCATTACATCTCGGCTTATAAAACATGAAGCCATGACACTGCACATCATAAAGACAGTCATTTCAAAATGACTAACTGTAAGTACATCTGCCATCCGTATAATGTTAAAGATCTGATAACTAATTTATGTGGCAGCTGTGCCCGCTTCAGATATCTCTTGCCATACTAAACTATAATACAGGTTGGATTAAGCCCTAACTCTTTCTGTCCCAAACAAGGCACTGTGCATGACTGGGTATTAAAGTCAAAATAGTATGTATGTTTTTACATCTTATGTTTAGTGCTGGACGCCGCAAAACTCTGAAAACATGTTTGTTTCGTGCAAGGCTTGCACGAGGCATATTTGGATTCTCTGGAAGGAAAGTAGTAGGCCCGTAAGTTTATAATGTCGTTCTTAACTTCTTCCTTCATCGATCAGTAGACCAACTTGGGACTACCTCTTCACTTTTAAAAGAAATGAAGAACATTATAGTGCAACTCCAGTTCAACTACATTTTCCAGCTCAGGAATAATATAAAATCTAGTAAGTAAAAATTAGTAGTCAGGTACCTCCCCCCCCCCCCCCCCCCTTTTTTTTTTTCCCTTTTCCCACACCCTCCTTCCCTCCCCCACCCACTTTTCGGGTTTATAATTAATAATAATCGATGTTGATAACCACACATTTTTAGACCAACCAGTTATAACCAATCATTTTGAACCAATCGGGCAATGGGGCTAATATCAGCCGGCCGCCTTTACTTTCCAGGAAATTTTCTGATACCAATTTTAGGCTTGGTCAACGTTTGAGCCGGGATCAGTGTTTAACGCTTTCCACAAACATTTTTTTGTCTGATTTTCTCTGATCATCTTGGTTATTATTGCCCCATATCAAGGTCCGTTTACATGCCAGTGTAGCATCTAATGAAACATACATTACTGGAAATCATCATCATCATCATGTAGCATGTCCTTTGCAGAACGTCGCTCTCATTATGGTCTGAAGAAACCCCGGTAGTGGAATTAACAAGTAATGGATAAACGAAATGGAGGTACATGAAACCACTTTGGAATCCAACTATATGATCAAAGTGCATCATAGAAGAACAGTGAAGAGTTATGGCTCACTTCACGAATCAGGTGGCTGGATTCATGGGTCGAATTTAATGTTGAGATTTTTGGCTGTTCGGATACTGGATGTTGGTCATTTGACTGTCTACTATGGGCTGCCTCTTTTCTACTTCAAACCATTCATTATAGATTCTTGTTACTTTTTAACTTTTGCACCCACGAGCTTACATACCCGAGGTGTGTTTAAAAAAAAATTCTTTTACAATAATTCCCCGTGGGTACAATAACTTCTGCTTGTTTTTGTATCTTGCACGACATCTTTAACGCTAGATATTAAGTAACATTTCTGTTGGTGTTCCCTTCCAGGGGAAAAAAATAGCAACGCTATTTCCCTAAAGGTAAATTATCAAGGATTAACTTTAAAGTGAACCTAAATCCTTGCTGTAGCAAGCACTTACTTACAGAGTGTATACTGTTCGAGTCTTAAAAGGTGGTATATTATCTGCGATGTAAGAGGTTACAAAGGTATGAACTTTCAAGGGGCATAGACATCGAAGATGGTTCCCCCCCCCCCCCCCCCACTGTCCCTCCCTCAACATTTTGTAAAAGGTCAGCATCTATCCATAGACATACATTCACTTTAAAAGTATTTATCATTGCATTTTTCACTCACTCAGATATATTATTATATGTTTTGCCAATCAGCACAATATTATTATTATTATTATTATTATTATTATTATTATTATTATTATTATTATTATTATTATTATTATTAAGCTATTCATAAACTATTGTTAAGTCCCTTGAGCAATACACACCCTAAAGGTTTCTTGGTGTCGGTGCTGTTACACAACGGGGACTGAAAAATGAGTTGCT